TGACTTTGATTCAAACTTCATTATTCTGTTTAAACAGCAGCTGCTGTAAAGGCCAGTGGATTTCAGTATGGTTATAAAGTAAATGTTCATGTCCCTGTGGCACTTAAATCCATGGAAAACAAATAAAAGTGTGTTTTTCTGTGGCAGGTTGTAAGTTGAAGAATGTGCAACAAATATAAATACTTTTTCATTTCTTTAGGGTATAGCTTCTTCAGGAAGCAGCCAGTATAGTGGACAGGTAAAACTTCTCTTTTCATGGTATTTGCAGTTTGGGTACACAGTTCATCAGACCGGTATTTTTTGCAAAAAAAGGAACATTCTAAGATAAAATAGCTTTAAGCCAAACTGAAGGAGGATTGCTAAGTATGATTCTGTCTGGTATTTCAGAGCAAATGATGCAGGGGCCTGTGACACTGCATGGAAATGTTTCTTCAACATACCATGGTTTAAAAGGACAATTTTTTGTGTTATCTTTAAATGAATTTGAAGGCCACAGAGAACAAGTGAGAATGTTACTCAGTAATACAGAAGTAATTAAGTTTCTCATTTCTTCCAGGGCTTTTCTTCAGGAGTCAGAGAGTCTGGTGGACAGGTATGCTTTTCTTTCTCTGCACTGCTCAGTTCTGCTAGTGTCATATACTCACAAATTGCTCTGTGTAACTTTCCTTCACAAGAACTGTTTCCCTTCACACATTTCATCCAGATTGAAAGTGGAGATACTGAATAGTGAACGTCTGGCCACCTCTTACTAAGTGTTATCAAAGTAAAAGTTACCTAATAGGCCTCCAGTGAAAGTCTGTATGTATCTATAGGATCATAGAGTTCCCTAAGTTGGAAGGATCCTCAAGTCCAACTCCTGACCCTGTATAGGACATCCCATGGATGACACCATGTGCCTGAGAGCACTGACCAAATGCTTCTTGAATTCTGACAGGCTTGAAGCTCTGGTATCCTCAAGGGAAATACATGAGATCTGTATTACTGTTTAAATTTTTTACTTACCCTTTTTTGAGTACTGTAAATACTTTTGTGAGTTACTGTAAATATTAAATGAGAAGTTAAAAGATTATATATAAAAATCTAATCAGTAAGTGCACAGCTAGCCTAAAAGGGCAGGGGAGAGACAAAGAAACTACCTTTTTAAATGGAACTTGATAAATTGATGAGCAATGTTTTATAGTCCATTTTCATAGAGTAGCAGAATGTGAGTTTGATTTACTAATTCAGAGGCCTATTCCAATCACAGACCCAGGAAAGTAAGTTTGGTTGTGTTTTGTACAGGGTGGGTGTGTGTGCCCCGGTGGAGGTTCAGTAAGTATTTTTTGTCTTTATGTATCTTTCATAGTATGTACACATACTGGAAAATTCCCAAGGAATGACATTTCTTGAAATGATTTTGTCAGTGAAGTTCTATGTATGATGAAAGCTTTTTCCACATTATGCCAAAGTGAGCAATTTTGAACTTGCTAAAGGCAGAAATATTAAGTGACTTGCAAGCATAGTATTGTGTTCAAAACTAGCTACTCAGTTTGTAAAAGAGAGGTCAGGGACTTTTCTAAGAATCTGTTTCCCAAATATCTCATAGTGTACCTGTTGGGTTTTGAACTTTGCTCTTATGATAGTTATTAACAGTATGATTGAATAAGTGAAACTTAGATTAAAATCTTGGCTCCAGATTCTTTCAGAATGGAGCAGAGAAACACATTTGGAAAAGTTAAAGCTATTTCCATTTTTCTATCTAATTAGTATATTTCCTAATTCTTTGCAAATTCCTGAAAATGAAGAAAACCCTAACATACAAATTCCCCCCCTGTACAAAA